AATAGTAGTAATGATAATAGCAATAATAGAAATCAAAAAAATGTCATAAGCAATAATGCACCGAGAACAAGCTTCATCTTCAACCCTCTGCAAGGCCCTATCAGAGGCTGTGCCCCCAGAAAATCCGCTACAAGATCCCTATATGAGAGTTCCCAAAAACGCGCGGGCCCCAATTATTCTCTGCTAGAAATAGTCCCTGTATACTCCTAATCCCGGTCCCCTCCCATTCCCTGCTGCTATGATCCCCATATACTCCCCAAATATTCCCTACATAATCCCTATATAATCCCTACATGATTCCTATAACATCCCTATCCCTTATTCCCTGCTAAACCCTAAACCCTCAACACTAAAAAACTAAACCCTAAAAAGTAAGAGGACAAGCAGCCTGCAGGTCGCAGGTTGCCGGCTGCGCCGAGCACCAGCGCCATGGCTTCCAACCCGCGCTCGGGGTCCAGGCGCGCAATGCTGCCTGACACCAGGGTTTCGGTTTCGGGTTTTAGGGTTCAGGTTTTAGGGTTTAGGTTTTATGGTTTAGGTTTTAAGGTTTAGATTTAGGGTTTAGGGTTTAGGTTTTAGGGTCGCATGCCCGTTGCAGGCATTTAGGGCTTGAGGTCGGTGGGCGTTTGGTACAATATACCACAACCCCCGCTGTCCGTTACCACCGCCGTCACCAGAAAGAGGTTTTGAAGTCTTGGTTAATGCCAAAGCCCACACCTTTGCCACGTCCGGAGGGCCATCCAAATCAAACCCTGCAGATGCATCGAACTCATGAAAGAATCGAATCACTGACGCATGTAAGCAAACGGGGCCTTCCCTGCTCCATCCTGTTACCTTCCATACTGCTGATACTCAACATGCTGCATGATCCGAATATACTATAGTACCAAAATTCCCAAGCTTTAACGGCTTAAGGCTTAGGGTATCCTAAACCCTAAACCCTAAACCCTAAACCCACCATATTTTTCGAAGAGCCTTCGGATGTTCCGGCTCTTGCTGCCATGCCCACGTCAGCCCAAGGTCCCCACTGCAGAGAGATGGCTGGCAGGTTCCTGGGTTGCTGCTAAGAAACTTCAACTCAGTCACAGGAAGGTTTAGGATTTTGTGTATAGGATTTGGGACTTAGGATTTGAAGTTGTTTTTTTTTGTTTTGCGCGTCTGTCCGTGAGGTATTTTTGACCAGCCCAGGCAAGAGTTTAGGGCTTGGGGTTTTGGGTTTAGGGTCTTGGGTTTAGGGTTTTGGGTTTAGGGTTTGGGATTTAGGGTTTGGGGTTTAGGGTTACTGCAATAAGGAGACCCTATTATTACTAGATACAAATACTATGGTAACTTAATTTAAACTCCTTAACAGCAACCCGGGCTCTTGGCCCGTCTTCGGGCACCCAGCGTATCCATGAAGGCATTGGCAGCACAGTAGTTGCCTCAGAGGCTTCAGATGGCTTCAGTCACTATTACTCCTCCTCATGTTGCCATTGATGCTAATTTCTGGTATTGCAAGTTATATTCCTACTCTTCAGGTTGCCAAAACATATTACAGGCATTTTTAAGCATTTTTGACTCTTATTGCCATAGTATTCCAACGCAGCCCTTTCTGCAGCCAAGATTGCCCTGCGCAACGGAGCCGATCATAGCCGCCACCGAGGAGAACAGCCACATGAACTGACGCATGCAGGGTTAGTGACAGCTGCTAGTACACACTGACAGGGGCCCTACATGACAATCCCTGCAAACCAATATGTAGACTCAGCTTAACTTTACATGTTCCATCTTCTTGTCCATTTTCTCCACAGATATAAATAGACCTACGTATAATATAGGGGTATGTCCATTTCACTTGCCATGCTCTTCTCTTCACCTCATATGATTCTGATGCCCCTTTCAGGTTGCATGTTCGGGACCCTAAAATACTCACATCCTGATTATGGGAACCCAAAAAAGGAAAACCTAAACCCCATAAACCCCTGTCTACCCCAGTTTCCATTTCATTTCCCGCTGTATTTCATGCGATTCTCCATTGTTGGGGATAACACCCTAAACCCTAAAACACTACAACCTTAAAACCCTAAAACTTCAAACCCAAAAACTCTAAGCCCTAAAACTCTAAACCCTAAACACTAGAACCCTAAAACTCTAAACCCTAAACACTGGAACCCTAAAACCCTAAACCCCAAACCCTAGAACTCTAAACCCTAAAACTCCAAATCCTAAACTCTAGAACCCTAAAGCCTAAAACTCTAATCCTAAACTCTAGAACCCTAAACCCTCTAGGGAAGAATAGGGAGAAACCCTAAACCCTAAACCTGAAACCCTAAACCCTAAACCTTAAACCCTAAACCCTAAACCCTAAACCCAGCTGCTGCTTCGCCTCCAGCGGTAGTCCTAGCTGGGCCGCGGCATTGTGCAGCTGCAAAGAACCATCCACCTCCCAAAGCCCCAGAATCAAGCTTGGTTAGGGGTTTAGGGTTTTAGGGTTTTAGGGTTTTAGGGGTTTTGGGGGTTTGGGGGTTTAGGGGTTTGGGGCTTTAGGGGTTTTAGTGTTTAGGGTTTTAGGGGTTCTAGTGTTTTGGAGTTTAGGGGTTTAGGGTTTTAGTGTCTGGGGGTTGGGGTGTAGGGCTTCAGGGGTTTAGAGGTTTAGGGTTCAAGTTTGCATATGACGAAATCTTTAGTAGTGCTGTCTATAAGAAAAATATTTGGGGGACTATAGGGTGTTTCCTGGTTAAACTCGGATTCTTCCCTTCCTGGCAATCAAGCAACAATTGCACCTTTCACTTCTGATGCTGAAGATCTAGTGCGGGATGTCAGCATGGCAATTCTGAATTGACAGTCCCTTATCGCTGGCACTAGAAACCGTCTGTAATTTCATCCAAGTGGGTGGTTGTCAAAATTATGGTCCCTTTTGGTTCCCTATTATAGTACGGCACCTAATATTTAGGGTACCCAAAGAGGGACCATAATTTTGACAACCACCCATATACCCCTATATAAGCCCTATAATCCCTGTAGTTTCCATTTTCTTTTCCATTATCCCTATATAACCCCAATATAACCATGAGAAACAGCCCCGCCTTGGCTGAGCACACCGTCTTCAGCGTGGCCTTGTTTTGGCCATCCTTGATGAGGCCATCAGCCAGCGTTCCCGCGGCGTGCACAACGCCCTTGACGACGTGGTCTTCATCTAAGATCTTGGCCACAACGCTCAGCAGGTCGGCTCCAGAAGAGATGTCACACCTGCGGGTAGAGAAGGTCGAGCCCTTGAGTTTGGCCATCTGCTTCTCAATCTTACGGAAAGCAGACTTCGAGTCGGCAGGAGGCTGCCCACTTCTGGACAGCAGGGCGAAGTGCCGGGCACCACATCGGATCATCCAGTCAACGAAGAGAAGGCCCAGCGCACCAGTTCCACCAGTGACCAGGTAGAGCCCATCTGGGCTGAAGCTGGGATTTCCCACCTCGTTCTGCAGGCGCTGTGTGGAGTCCACCAGCCTGGGCACCAGCATCTTCTTCTCGCCCTCCGTACGAATTGCCAGCTCTGGCTCGGCAAAGCCGCCAGCCCGCTGCTTTTGCAGCCGCAGCAATTGGTTTGCCAGGCCTGGGGCCGGAACAGTCTGCCTTAAACCCCAAACCCTAAACCTGAAACCTTGAACCCTAAACCCCAATAGAACCCCTATATCAACCCCATATACCCCTTACAGAACCCCCTATATCCCCTTTAAACCCTTTAAACCCACCAGGCCTAAGCCGGAACAGTCTGCCTCCTCCAGGTCCAAGGTCACGGTGGCCGCGAGCTCGGGATGTTCGTTGCGGAAGGCCTGAACTTCGAAGTCACGTGAGTTATAGTTTAGTGGACCCCCACCCAGTGACTATAAGGGATAATAGGGATTATATTAGGGTCCTTCTATTTTCTCATTATACCACTATTACAGGGTGGGGGGTCCTCCTTAGTTATAGTCTTAAACTCCTTGAAGGGGGCTATAGAAGGTTTTTTTTTATAGGGGCCTTTTCTCCACTAGATATATCCAGGCAGAGAGCGCTATGTAAAAGGGTTTAGGGTGTAGGGTTTGGGGTTTAGGGTCTGAACTCCTTAAAGGAGGTTATTGGGGTCATATAGGGGACTACTATAGGGGTGATGAAGGGAGATACTGGGAGCTTAGGAAGATCAAGGAAGTCATCTGAGCTATTGTCTTAGTCTAGACTCCTAGTTCCTCCTTGATAACCCCTGTAATACTCCCCCCCTATAGACTCCCCTTTCTAACCCCCGTTAGGGAGTTTGGACGATAGCTCATGTTGTAATGATAGCAAGAATCGTAATTAGGGTTCAGGGCCTAAGGTAATAAGAACAAAATGCTAACAGTAGAAACAACAATAACAATAATAGGTGAAACAAGAATGATAATATTAGAGATAATTGTGCTAGGAATAATAGCAACCGGCATCTAGCTTGGGAAGACTCTTCTGCTTGGCTGTCACGCGCCTTTGCCAAACCCCAGATCCCGGCATGGCTTGCCGGAAGGGTGGCTGTGGAGGATGCCAAATCTCCGTCTACAACTGCATTGCTCAGGCAGATTGGCAACCAGAGCTCCGGCATACCGTCAGGGCCGTCCTGTGCATGCATTTTGTCATCATTATTGCGATTGGTATTATTACTATTTTTGCTTTTGTTTTCAGGTTTAATTTTGCAATGCTTTGGCATACCAAGCTGAGAGTCCTCCTTGGCCTCTTTGGCCATAGCCTGCATCAGGCGGAGCGTGCGATCGAGCACGTCCAGGATTTCGGCAGAGGCCGCTGTAGCATTGCTAGGCAAGGGCTTGACTCCGACAACGTTGATTACCCTGCAACTGGGTTGCTGTTAAGGAACTTAAATTAAGTTACCAAAATGGGTATATACAGTAAATAATAGGGTTTCCCAATATAGTAGCTTAATTTAAGCTCCTTAACAGCAACCCAGGCAAAGGAGCAGTCATTCTTCACACATACTCTTGAACAGCACTGTCAAGCCCTAACTTGCCTGGAGTAGTCATGTAGCTTGCCCCACTCTGCACTGGCATCCAGGCAGGCGTAGGAGTGGTTGTCGCCAAGATGGGACTTCAACTCATCCACAAAGCCTCATGCGGGCATGCCAAACATACACGGCACTCACAAACAATCTAGGAGATTCCTAGGAGCAACTACCGGTGAAAGCCGTGAGGCCTTTCGGCATTCTATGATAGAGGATCAGCCAGCGCTCATTCAAGGCATCTGCAACCTCCTCACTCTCAGGAGCGGCTTGCCACTCAATCTCATAAATCTTCTGGTCCTTGGCTATACTGACGCTTTCCTTAAGACATTGCTTTCAAACTTTCGGCACCCCAATGCTAAGGCTTCAGCATCCTCGGGCGTTGATTGCGCTGCAATGGCCATCTGGATTTGCTCAGGCAAGACCTTGCGGAAGACCACGTTGTCCATGAGCATCAGCACAGTGCCGTTGCTGGACATGACCTCGAGATCCGAAACCGGGCGTCCACAAAAAGACATGGGGAGAAAAACACGTATGCGACTACTACAACATGCCAAGCCTTCAGGTCGAAGGTTTCTGATGCCTCGAGCTTCTCCTTGATGCTCAGCCAGATCCAGTACTCGTCCTGCTGGGAGAAGTTCTCAGACTGAATGATAGAGACACGACCGACGCCACCGAAAATCTTGAGGTCGTTCACATTCTTGCCAACAGACGCAGTTCCCAAGCTGTGGATGGTACCATCGAAGACGGCAGGATGCAAGACATAGCCGACGTTGGGAACTCCATCATCAAGCTTCAGGCGTCCCAGAACTTCAATCACATTGCTCTCGCTCCCCTCATCTGGCTCCTTCCTCCACAGCTGCTTGGCCGTCTGGAACATGGGACCCAAATACAAGCCGACGCCGTCAATAGCAGCATAGACATCCTTGGTGGGAACCACCTCAACCACTCGAGCCTTCAGGGCCTCCAGATCAACTGGGTTTGCTTTGGCAGCACTGTCCACCTCAGCCTCTTCGCCCCTTGGCGGTGCCCTGTTGATTCCGCCCTCTGCATGCACGGTGACAGTCCCGGTGGCCGAGGTGCTTTCAATCTGGAAGCGCGTGTCGGACTTCAGGACGAAGCGCATGGTGGCGGCGGGCTCTGCGCCAGTGGTTCGAATGGGAATCACAAAGGGGAACATCATGTTCACGTCTGTGATGCGAACGCCTGGCCCAAACATCTCCCGCGTTGCCTCCAGAGCCATTTCAACGAAGACGACACCCGGCACAACGATGGAGCCAAAGACGACATGGTGCTTCACTACGTCGTAGACATCCATACGCATGGCAACTTCAAAGATGCCCTCACTGGGCTTGGCGCGCAGGAACCGGAAGCCCACCTCTCGCCAGGCGAAGTTTCGTCGCTCGAAAGCCACTGGCAGCTGCCTGGGCGGTGCGGTTGCTTCCTTGCGTGCCAACTCAATACGGAAGGTCTCTCCCGCTTCGGTTGCAGCGGACACGACTCCATGCGCATTTGTTCCTCCAAAGCCGAAGGAGGAGAGGCCACCGCCCAGGCGAGAAGGCTGGGTTGAGGCAAGCTTGGAAATGGAAATGGACTCGGTGACAAAGATTCCTGGCAGGTCGTGTAAAGCTGCCACGCTGGGGTTCAATTGACGAAGATGCAAAGAGGCCATAGAAGCCGCGTGCTCCATCAGCGCCACTGACTTGATGAGCCCTGTTGAGGCAGCAGGCCCTTCCAAGTGGCCGCAATTGCATTTCACTGCTGCCAGTAGGATCGGCGTGTCCGGATTCCGCGATGCATTCGCAGACTTGATACCGCCAATCTCGATGGGATCGCCAAGCGGCGTGCCGGTTCCATGACACTCCATGTGGACAATCTCTTGTGGCGCTAACCGCGCTTCGGCCAAAGCTATCATCATGACCGTGTGCTGCGAAGGGCCATTTGGTGCTGTCAGCGTTGAGCTACGACCATCCTGATTCACTGCCACACCCAAAAGCGCGCAGCGCTCCAGAGTGGCACCAGGCTTCTCCACCGAGGCTGCGGCAGAGATGGCATCGCCAGGCTTCCGCAGCACAACAGCTCCGGCACCCTCACCGCGGGCATAGCCATCTGCAGAAGCATCGAATGTCAAGCAACGGCCATTCGTGGAGAGCATGCGCGGCTTGCTGAAGCTGATGTAAGTGGTGGGGCTGGCCATGATGTTCGCTGCCGTGTTCAAGGCAGCCATGCAACGGCCCTTTCTCAGCGCTGTGGCTGAACAGTCAAGGGCAACCAGTGCAGAGGAGCAGGCAGTGTCCACAATGTAGCTTGGACCCTTCAGACCCAGGGCATAGGAGATTCGACCAGCTGACACAGAAAAGGACATTCCTGGGATGCTGCTAAGGAACTTGGGGAAACCTAATTACTTACTATTTATATACCCATTATGGTAACCCGAAACCCTTAACCCCATATACCTTGTATATACCCATTATGGTAACTTACCTTAATTTCCTTAACAGCAACCCTAAACCCTAAACCCTAAATACTAGTTTCCATTTTATTGTCCATTATCCCTATATAACCCCTATATAACCCTATATAACCCCTATAACCCGTATAACAGCAACCCAGATTCCCGTGGCGGTGTATGGGCTGATCTTCCGCACATCCCAGCTCTGCATCTGAATCCAGTCATTGTTGGCAAGTCCAACGTGCACAGCAACCTTCGCAAGCGGTTTAGGGTTTAGGATTGAGGGTTTAGCTTGTATGACCCCTGTACATGGCAGTTTCTGAAAAGTGCAGGGAACGAAGAATAGACTCCCAATATACAAAAATCGATGTTTTTACAGGAACCCCCGAAAAGGGATTCTGAAATTGTTGTTAAGTTATAAGGGTTATATAGGGATGCATGCCAACTATATAGGGATGTGGATATACACGGAAATATAGGGTTTGTATAGGGCTTTAGAATTTTCTTATGGGGAGGCTTATCTAGGCGGTATATGGGGATATATAGGGTCATGTAGGGGTCCTATAAACCTTAAACCCTAAGTCCTAAACCCTGAATACTAAACCCCTAACCCTTAACCCCAAACCCTACACCCTAAATCCTAAGCACCTTCCACCCCAAACCCTTAGCCCTTTACCCTCAATCCTAAACCCTTAACCCCTCTTTATGGGGGTTCGGCTAAGGCCGAGACCTCGCTTCCCATGAGATCTGCCTTTGCCAGACCCGCATCCAGCAGTCCTGACGCATGGTGGGTTTAGGGCTTTGGGTTTATGGTTTAGGGTGTAGTGGTTTAGGGTTCAGGGCTTAGGATATAGGGCTCAGGGTTTAACGTCGAGGGCTTAGGGCTTAGGGTTTAGGGTTTTAGGTTTAGGCGGTGCGATGGAAGGCATCGTGGTTGAAGGGTTCTGAGTGTAGGGCTCAAGGTCTGGGGAATACAGTAGAGAGCATGTGTGCATGTAGAGCTAGTAGCCTACTTGCAGGAAACGATGGTGTGCTTACACATCTGCATGCGCGCACGCACGTACGAGGTACGTACGTGTGCATGGCATGCATGCATGCATGCATGCATTCATGCATGCATGCATGGATGGATGGGTGGGTGGGTGGGTGGGTGGGTGGATGGATGGATGGATGGATGGATGTATGATGGAAATACTGTTGGGGCATGCATGCTTATCTGCATATTTATATACATTTCTATATGTACATAGTTCATATACATATATCATACTATATCTATACACATATGCCGGAGGCTGCAGGGATGATATCAGGATCCAGCCACGCACCGCCCACAAGCACAAGTAAGCAACAGCAGTAAACCCTAAGCCCTAAACCCTAAACCCCAAACCCCTAAACCCTGAACCCCAAACCCCTAAACCCCTAAACCCACTAAGCCCTAAGTAAGCAACAGCAGTCCGTTTGTTGATGTTTCGAGCAGCAGTCGCTGCTGAGGGTCCATTGCCCGCGCCTGCGGCCGGGACTCTGAATTAGGGTGATATTGGGGTGATATTGGGGTTATATTGGGGTGATATTGGGGTTATACTGGGGTTATATGGGGTTATAGGGTTTAGGGTTTAGGGCCAGGACTCTGAATATGCTCAACAAGATTGTCATGTACGGCTATGTCTCACAACGAGGCTTCCATATCTCTCCCTGACAGTCCCAAAAAAAACTAAAACTTTGAGACACCCAGTCACCGCAGCAGACTGTCCGCGATGAGAAATAAATTGCCGATCAACGGGAAGCAACCAGAGGCAGAACGAGGTGCAACCCTATTGATGCTTAGCTGGGAAATAGACAACCGATCCCTGTCGAGGTCCCTGTATTTGTTTCCCATAAAATCCCCAGATAGTCCCAACGGGTATAACTCACCACTCCCACATTCCTCACTATGCATGAGGAAGCCATCCAGTTCTGCTGCGGCCTCTGGCGGTGAGATGCCGAAATACCCGGAATCGAAGAACTCGGCGCCCTCGACAAAGTTCCCATGCCTGGGATACCTTGTAGGGCCGGCAGCCAACTTAGGCAAACTTCAATCAGATCTTCATCATTGCATAGCACTTGGAGATCTGTACCCACCCTCTCGTGCCCTCCGCTGCCCTAGGCCCTAGACTCAAACCCTACCGACATCATCCGACATCCTTCTTTCTGCCACCATGGTGCATCTTTCCTTGGGCATCTGGGTTCGGATCCCACACTTCCTCCAACTCCCACCGCGTGAATGGCACCTCCACTCCGCCATCCACGCCCTGGTGCACGTTGAGATGCTTTATGGAAACGTCAACGCTTATTGCTGCTGGAGACAGCAAACATGCAGCGCAACAATGTCCTAGGATAGGGTCCATGCGGGCACACGTTCTGTGGCAGCTAGTCATGTTGGTGACTGCTTGAAGGACAACGTCGTCTTAACACCTAGCTTGTGTCGTGCATACTCGGCCTCAAGATGCATCTAATTCTAGCTGAAGGGTCTGGGGAATCAGGAAGCATACAGCTGACACCCAAAAGCGATACCACCTCTTTCTAGGAAAACTAAGAACCCCAGAAGACTACACCATGTATCATATAATCTGCATTTAACAGCCGCTCCCTAAACCCTGCATCATGGAGTGCACACATCCCATGAAGCCCATATTGCCTTGGTAAGGGCGCAGTGGAAAATGCTGCAGCTGGAAGACGCGCCTGGGAAGTAGGCGGCCTGCAGGAAAGGGTCCAACAGCTGCATGACAAACTTGCTTGCAGCAGAAGATAAACACCCACAAGCAATTTAGGGTTTAGGGTGGAAACATGTAGGAACTGTGCTGACAGCCAGCTTTATTTGCATGCAGCCCAGGTGCCATTCCGGCGACAGAGAGCTGCTCATCCATACTGCCAGCAGGGGCCCTTGGAGCGGCAATGCCTGGCACTGAGCTTTTGACATCAACCATTCCCAGGCTACCCTAAACCCAAACCCTAAACCTTTTACGCTTGTCCGAGGGCTCCAACTATTTTGGGGGTTTCAAGCTGGGACAACGATAGTTGAAGTTGACCTCATGGCCCATAATTAATTTTGAGCTAGTAGAGTCATTGCCATAGTAGGTCTCCCAACTGGCAGGGTTCTGAACAAGCCTTTCATGCTGAAAAGCTGAATGCATTATCATATTATAGTAGTTTCCATTTACTTTTCCATCATCCCAATATCACCCCAATGTTATCCTAGTGTTACCCCAATATCATCCCAATCTTGCCCCCGAATATAGCTTATAAAGGCAGAAAGGTAGTCTGTGACTTTGGTACATTTCGGGCTTCAGGCTTGGGATTTTGGTTGGCCGTCCTGCCATGACCATTGGAGCTGCAGTCGTACCCAACTGCTCCGTGGCATAGCCAGCCACGCTCGCGATTGTCGGGTAATCGAAGATGAGCCTTGAAGAATGAAGTACAAGGGCGGGATATGATGTTTCTGACAAGTGTCTACGGGGAACAGGAAGATGTGCACTTGAAGGGAAACATGTGGTGGGCGAAGACGGCTGCAGACCTTCAACTCTACCACTGAAGCACACGCCCTAATTGCTGGGATAGAAGCGTGTTGGGCAGGTCCAGCGAGGGAAGCTCGCTGGAAAGCCGATTGCGGAATTCCACAGCCGACAAGGAGTCCATGCCTCAGCATCACACGGTTTAGGGGTTTAGGGGTTTAATGTTTATAGTCCCCCTTAAGTAGTTAGAATATGGGGTACATGGGGATCTTTATTACAATATACCCAAAGCCAGATAGGGGTTGAGGGGTTTATGCAAGCAGTCTGCACACGATCCGAACCAGAATGACGCCTGGATCCTTAGCCAGAACATGGGATATACAATTTATTCATTACGCCGGCTTTCAAGCGCGGCGACGGGACCGACCAACTCGACAGTAATTAGTTTCGGGTTTAGGGGTTCAGGGGTTTAGGGTTTAGGTTGTGTTTTAGGGGTTTAGGGGTTAAAGTAGATAGAATATGGGGTATATGGGGATCTTACTATAGTATACCCAAAGCCATATTCTATCTACTTAAAGGGGACTTTAGGGTTCAAGGTTTGAGATGAGAAGTCGCTGGCACCTTCGCCTCCATCCACCCATCGACCAACGGATCAAATTTGTGACATAACTACACTAGTATATTACTATATAGCTATCACTAGATTACCATACTACTGTACTACTATAATGCTACATTTTTAACTAATAAATTTCGATAGTACTATACTGCTGTACTACTATATGACTGTTTTACTATATTACTGCATTACTCTTACTGATCCAGGCAGAGCGGCCAGACTCCATCAACGGCTTGTCTTCCTCAACAAGGCCACCCGTGGTGTCGGATGCGATGCGTTTCAGAAGCTCCTTGACCTGTGAGCGCGAGCCCCGGTGAGTCACAGCGCTTCGTAAGCAGACCGTACCGCTACCTGTAGGCATCCTGACCAGACCTCCTGTTCCAGTAATATAGAAATGTATTTGTTTACTAGTACAGTGATCTAGTTATATAGTTATATAGTAACATATTAATGTAATAATATACTAATGTAATACATTCATACTTCATGGCACTGGAACTGGTGTCTCATCGTGTCCTTGCATCACTGCCAACAAAGCCTACCAACAGGGGTGCCCCATCCGAGATCCAAGGCCACTCAGGGAAGGTTCTTCACAGTTTCCATGCTTGATGCATTGGGGCCTTGCTCCCACAGAGAGGACTCTAATAGTACAAATAACGTTAATTACACGACCAATAGCACTGGTAGTAATAATAGTACTAATGGCAACAACAATGATAATGATAATGGTACTGGTAATAGAGCAGCCATTTCTGCATGCAGGAGCATGGCCTTGTGGACTGAGTCACACTCTGTACCAAAACACAAACAGATGGTAGGGCAGGTAAGCTCCTAAATCATCCCTCTTTATGGGAATGTTTTAGGACGCAGCACATTATTCTTCTATCAGGATCTCCAGAATCCCTCCCTAAACCCTAAACCCTAAACCCCCTTCAGCGCCGACGGATTTCTAAGCAAAAGAGATGGCGAACCCAGCCGCCTCTGTTGGGCTTGGGCCAGCAGGGACCATGGCCTCCGGCATGCCATTGGGTGTGGCCTCAGAATTCTTAAGGCTTACGGTTCTGGGTTTAGGGTATTAGGGTTTAGGGTTTAGGGTATGGCCTCACAATTCTAACCATGCACCACCATGTGGCAGACATGCATACTGAAGGACCCCTCTGCAGGTGCATTTACATGTGTGTATACTTACATGTAGTGGGGTACGCGTTCTGGGTCCACACTGCATACTATACACATATCCGAGAAGTACCGCATTCGATGTGCAGGGATGTCTGCACAAACCCTTGCGTCATGGTCAGTGTACCCAGGAGTCATGAAAACCCGAAACCCGAACCCCTAAACCCCAATATTACTATATTACTATATCACAAAATTAGTATATTCCTATATTACAAGATTGCTAGAATACCATATTACTACCCTAAACTCTAAACCCTAA